CCCCAAAACCCCAAAACCCCAAAACCCCAAAACCCCAAAACCCCAAAACCCCAAAACCCCGCTCTTAATTCACAAGATTGAATTCTACTGGATTAGAAAACATTCGAAGAGTGAAACATCCTCTGCCTGCCAGCTTGGACACTTGTCTGATTCATGTATCTATTATCTATTGGGGTCATGAAAGCTCTGCCAAGATCCTTCTTGAGACTCACGTGAGAGAGAGGTGCAGAAATGTTTCCATCCTTACCAGAAAGGACATTCTGATAAGAGCTTTGGTGAAATACATTGTTAATGGTATGATCTTTCTTAGATTGAGCCTCCTTAGGATCATATTTTGATCTTTGGTTTTTCCCCGAAGTTAAGGATTTTACTGAAGAAGCAGTAGACAACATTGGAACGCTGGAAGTGTTACTAAAATGCCAAAGAGATGATCTTTTAGGATCTTTAGCGTTATATGCAGCCCTCTTTGGGTTAATATTAGGATTCCAGTCGATATCTCTAGTGTCATATTGGTTTGTCCATAAGTTAGCTCTTTTCATTTCTCTTTCAATTCTTTTTCTTTCTAATCTTTCTCTTTCCCATACCAGATGGCTTTTATCGTTTGTGTTGATTCCTTGATACTTTCTTCTGTATTTAGGATTTACGGCTCTTGGAGCCTCATAAATTTGGGGAGATCCAGTCAGTTCTTCTTCCAAAGGATTTTCAGCTATCGGAGAGTTCTCCATCATATATTGGTTTTCAGCCATTTGGTGGTAATTATTATTTTGCTCGTAATTCTGAGCTTCTTGGCCCTCCATATCAAGACCATTATCTTCTTGCTCATACTGCTGAGGATCCTCTTCATATTGTTTTTCTTGTTGATTATATTCTTCATCATATCTTTCATCTTCTTCTTGGTAATGAGCTTTGTTATCTTGGTTGTAACCATTTTCTTCTTCTGTATATCTATTTTCTTGATCATAATCTGGCTCTTCATGGTGATAATTTCCCTCCATTTCTCTCTGATGCTGGTCTGGAGATGGCTCATTCTCTGGATCGTCATACTCCTGATATTCATCCCTGTTTACATATTCATCTCTGTTGATATTATTGAGGTACTGATCAACTTCTCGGTTTTGATTTCCTTCGTGTTGGTCTAATTCCTCCTCATTCTCAGTTTCAATTTCAACTACTTGCTCGTCTACAATCTCTTCAATAATTCCAGATGATTCTCCTTCACCAAAGTTCTCCTCTCCTTCGTAGGACTCATGGTAGTTGTGAAGGTTGACTTGGGGTTGATAATTACTTTGTCTTCCAACTACTTTAGCCCCATGATTTCCTCCTGCCCCAGTATCTCGATCTAAGGCATGATTTTTCGAAGGGCGAGCTTGGCTGCCTCTACTAGAGATAGATTGCCTCGCTTCGAATTCCTCTTCATACTCCATGAATTCCTCCATGTCCTCATCATCGATGTCTAAAAATTATGAATCTTTGTGGAAATGGAAACTTTACCTGGGTTTCCATCTGAGGAGAATTCTTCGGCGATGTTACCTTCTTCCTCTTCCTGAACATATTTGCCATCAATGATATTTGGCTTCTTGTTTCTCTCCAACTGTTGAGTATTCTTATAGCTCATATCTGTCTAACTGAATATATTATTTATAAATAACTGGGACATAAAGGGGTTTTGGGGTTTTGGGGTTTTGGGGTTGAAGGAGGTGA